CTTGCAATCATAATTTTATTTCGATTTGTTCATAACTACACAGTCGGTCAAAATACCACGGGAGCATCAGGGGCAACAGCATGATTTGCATCTACAATAAATAAACGCCTAGACTAAAATAGGTGGCTATCGCCTACAGCTGCCTTCAAGGATATTGGAGACACTGGATCTTAATGAGATATGCTGAAAAACTGGGCCGGACGGCATGTGCAAGCTGCAAGTGAAATATCTGAGATTTCTGTCGGGTCTGTGTAACGGGTGAAGAAGTGAATTAACTGATCAGATGGCACATACAACAGTCAAACGCAAACCAGCCATCGCAAATCTCTCTGGTGCGACAACTTTATGGACCACCAGGAATAGCGCTGTGCAATTTATCTGATTTTCCGTACGTAAATACACCCCTGCCAGATTTTTTATCAGTGATGTGGAACCCATGTGCACCACTAAGAGCGTTCGTTGCTTGGATTAAGAGTAAATGAAATATTAACAGTCAAAAAGGCTTAGTCGTTTTCCTTTCCAGGAAATGGACTACAATCTTCATTATTTTCCGTGAGTCTCGCAACACTGACGCACAAATGTAAATCAGTGCTGTGAAAGCACATTCTGAAATTCACATGCCTGACTGTTATTCCTTCAGCAGGTAGGCTTTAATTGCGCGATCAAAATAAGCCGACGTTTTCTAAATGCGTGGACACCGTTAGGTGATTTCTGTGATTTTCTTCCAAATATGCTGTTTTTACACCCTTAAAACCTCCATTTTAATTTGCCTAATTTGGCGTTCACATACTACGGTGGGGTGTGAAATGACTCTGTATAATTCACAATAGTGTTTTTGGACTAGCAAAAATCTCAAAAACCTAGAATGATGTGGATTATTGGTCACATGTATGTTGCCATCGAGTGTTCGCTGTTGCAAACGTACTTTATTGCTGTTTTACACCACGCATCAGATTTCTCGCACTTATTTCGCTCTGAATTCGGTTCACATTTTCTCACTGGAACGCGTTTTGTTTACCACACCTGTAACTCGTGTACTTTTGATGAGTCGACTTTGTAGGAATAACCAGTTCACCTCGGAATTGTTCGCGGATTTCCATATTATTGATGCTTAAACGTGGCGGTTTTTTTGGCTGTGAAAAAAGTCATGCGCAAAACTAACCACTCGACGATCTGCTTTATTTCGTACAACATAGAATCAACGCAGGATGCAAATAAGGTGGAACGATATGTTGTTATCTCATAATAAAGCAAGTTTTCTCAGCTTGCTAGTCCACCGGATGTACTTTATGCGTGCGCTTGTGTATGCGCTGATCAACATAAAATTTGTTCCGTGTGCTTCGGTGATTAGTTCCACACCATTCATAGAGAGGAATCATAGAGTTCGAATAGATGTTCTGCACAGACCAACTGGTGTTTTTTCTGTTTTACAGATTTCACTAAATTGTTCGAAAGATTTCACGTACAAACACAGCGGTATCTCTAGATATCATCCACAGAGATCTCAGTGAACTTGAGGTAAATGCTGGCAAGTGGCGCATGCAATGACGCAAATGTGTAGTATAAACTTGCCATAGCAACTTAGCTACGAAATCACGATTCTTTGAAGCGCATTACCTGTCATGTTGTTTATTCAAGGAACTACTTGTTAACCTGGAACAACGACGACCGCTATTTCAAAATCGCTTTGGGGTGCTTTCCTCCAAACACAAATAAAACGACAACTTACACAGTGATTCTTTCTTTGTTGCGCAGTTGGCACTTTGTTATCCTATAACCTTCTGTGAATGCGGAAAACTCAACATATTCAACTATGTAAAACAGCCAGTTTATCTCCCAATTTCCCATCAATGACGCCTTTGTCTATCTGATCACGTAAAGAGCAGATTGGAAGGGTTAGCTTGGTACTTATCCTCAGTATTCTGAGTGTTTTTAAATGCAGCACTGATGCAGCAAATTTTCAAACAGAATACCAAGATAAGGCCACATGGTGCGAATCACGACAATATGACACAATGACGCCGGGCTATTTGCAGACATACGTGGCTCCAGTTGGCACGCTGAAACTTCGGAAACCAAAACAATCATGCAGAAAAAAATGCAACGGAGTAGCAGAGAGTTAGTATAAGCGAATAAAATAAAGGCCACCAGAAGCCGTACAGCTTATTTATATAGCTCAAAAAAGACACCAAACTAAAGCAGCCTTTATCGACTTACGGCTATTTGGTTTTCATACTTTACTTCTTATGATATACGTCTTTACGACTAATCGTTTCATCGGGAACTGCATAGAAAATCACACATATTTGGCAATTACATATTCAACCGAAATTCCCCTCCACAACATATGGCTCTGAAAGACGTGGAGGATAAATCCTGGCCTCAGCAGCCACAAATGAGCAATGAATGAAATCTTTGAAACCATGTGAACACAGATAGCCTATTCCCAATCTGGTGTCTCCAGGGCCGATCACCGCAAATTCTTCCATATATGTGACTGATGGAAAAGCGGACGAATGAGATGATGGATTAACCCTTATATAGTTTGCCAGTAATAAATTGAAATGACTGTGGAACAAGCTGAGATGAAAGAGTGAGTAAATAGTCCTCCTTTAAACAGATCAATCTTAAAGACCTAGTTTCATAATACATAAGCGTTTATTCACTAAACGAAGGGAAGAATAAGTATATTTATCCAGGCGTATTGATGCCATCCGCAAACATGTTTAAAATATCGACTTGAATAAAAAAGCAAACAAACGTGTTTTTTTTTCAAATCACACTGCTCTAGAAGAGTCCACATGATTTCCAAAGTGCCTGAAAGACGTAAATTTGGCAGCAAACAGGTGGTTGTTTTCTATAAAAATAGTAAGATTCAGTGTTGAGTGTCGGTTACACTGTGCGTATATTTTGACAAGACACGTGGCAAGTGTGTGCGATGTAGCTCCTGCGTGCTCATCTAATCTGGGTGAAAATCTTAACGCATGATGTACAGAAACCACCGCCGTCTTGGTCATTCTCAACGTGTGGAAACATATATATATATATATTTGATTCCACTTTCACGCATTTTCCTTTGGCTTATCTGGCACACAGCCAAGTATTAGTTTATAATTCTTGCACGTGAAAGCCCGCGCTCATCAATTCTGGGGGGGGGCGCAGTTTGTTACCTTGGACCGGTATCATTCAAACTTTGCACATATCAATGTTAAGCAGCGAGGTGGCAATGCAGACTGAGTCCTAATTGTACTCCACTCAGACCATTTGAACACCAACATACGCGGACTTGGCTACATGTGCTGGACTAACAATCTTTAAATGAACATGAGTCTAAATGTTTGTGAAAAATTTGCTTAATGTGTTCAGGGGAGTTCACCAGAAAAAAGGCCTACTTACTCAACGGTGGGCTTTGGGTACCATCAGATGCTGAGCACATGAATTTATTAAATAGTTTATTCTCGGAGGTATCTAATCCGGTATTACACCAACGTCCTGTAGAATATTGTCAAGGTTGGTCATCATAGTACAGCAAAACGCAACGAGATAAAATTGATATTTTGTCCATTCTGGTACACGATCCAAGGGCTAGACGTGTTTTTCACTTAAAAATAACCCGTCAACTAGTTTCTCTTGTATAAGCTAACAACACATATGAATCTTCCAGATTGATGGGTAATGTTGAATTTCAACCTCCTCAGCTTGAAGATATGCCTGCCGGTGTTTGCTATATCAGTTATAATACGTCAACGTAGGTGGTCCATTTGCGTGATCATATTTGATCTGGTAGAACAGAACTGTCAGTGTCCACGCTTTTGGTTTTGGGACATCCTGAGACTCCCGACAGTATCTACTCAGGAATTGTGAATATCACTATCTATCTGTGCCTGCTTTGCGAATGATCGTCTTAATGACTCAGTGAGTAACAAATGCGTGGTAAACGAAAGTCACGGGCGGACATTTTGATGTCATGGACGCGGTAATGTTGAGGTACGATAGTCACTGCCTCATGTAAAATTGCTTTGATCAACTAAGCCGACGAGTATCCATTTGTTCACGTCGTCACAAAATTAGCTTCCTCAAGAATATGTTTACCAGGCACAGATTTGTTCCAAATTAAAAATCTGACATTAGGGTCACGAATTCACGGATTCACAGATTGATACACAGGATCGAGGCTTTTGCCCAAGTCTCCCGGGTCGGTTTTGTTCCTGTCGGTCAGTGGCTGTCGTTCACCTGAAAGACACAATTGATAAAAGGGTGTAGCACTTCTCTTTATGTTCTCAGCGCGGGGCAGTATGCTTGCTTGAACATGTATCTGTTTATGGAACTGTTAAATCTTGCTTGAGGACGTGTCGGTCGCGCAACGCTGAGGTTGCACAAACTTATATCACTTAAAATTGACATGGATTGGGCTTCAAATTCTGTACCTTTTCTGCAGCCAACGAGTTGAATGATGCGCACAGTCTGTTTATGTAATCACCTTTGGCGCGGTTGTATTCTTCAACGTCACGCAATTGGTACTTACCCTAAGCAGCTAAAATCCTTGTTTAGTTCTCTCTGCGAAGATTTATTGGAACTACTTTGAGAGTTAAGTGGGAAGCCTGGGGAAGCGGAGACATTGTAATTTGCCTGTCTCTACAAATGACGTCGTCCGTCGAACATTGCAAAAAGTGGGCAACATTTTCTCTCATTCGTTTTACACTCCTTCGGTGTGATGTTACTGGGAATCTTCTTCGCAGCATACCTGAAGACCTCATGTCCCTTCATATAAGTTACATTCGAGAATTATCAAAACGTGTCAAGTATATAGGTGATGATCACAGTAAACCTTGCACTGATGGACTTCGGCCGTTTGAAGATCAACGGCGTGGCTAAAAACGTTTTAGCACAGGAGGCTTCTACCCAGTTATTTATCTGAGTGGGAATCAATTCTTGAGGGAAATGAAACATCTGTCATTCTCTAGTGGGTTTGGGATGACGCGTAAAGATCCCAATCCTACCTCGGTTGGTGTCAGACGACTTTCACATAGGATACTGAACACGGTTATACGACAGTTATCTAAAAGCAAATAAATGGGCAAAAGCATTTGAAAAATGATATGAACCTGATTCCATTTGACAACTAGCATAGAATTTCATAGTAGAAAATAGCGTTTAGTTGCTCCAAAAAACACCTCTTTAGCAGACTATTACTTTACGGTTAACACAGCCTTTTTCAAAAACATTAATGTCAGAATTGCTGCTGCTAAAATTACTGACACCTTACACGGAAGTGCGGCTTGGATAAAAGAATTGAAATTCTCGGCTCGGGTCCCTAACAAAATCACAACTTCACCCACGAATCAGTACATACGCCTTCATTATCATGTTATTGGATGAGACGTTCTAAAGAGTAACAGTTTCTGATTCTGATTCATTAGTACGCTTCAAGGTCATATAGAATGGTATAAAATCAAGTGATGAACTGGAACATATTAGCATTCAATTGTATATTTTGAGGTGCTTGAATTGTCTCCAAGAATGATACAATACGTTATTTTATCTGCGATCCTGCTATGTAAGTATATTTAAGTTTTTGTGTAAGACGGCTATGTGCTACTCAAATCGGTGTCCTAACTATTCTACACACTTTGCTTTAGTGAATGCCGACTCAGCTGTCCATCTTCACGTGTACGAAACCTGCATGTGTAAGTCGAATCCTTTCATCCATCTGCGCCAACAGTGATTTCGAAAATTCATTTTAAATTCATATCTGTTTCTTTCATGAACAAACCTTGAAGGTGTACCTTGATAATGCACCCTTAAAAAATCAGAAGAAAGATCAGAAAACTCCACTCGCATTAATCCAGTTGTTTTCTTCCCCTTTGGATAAAAATATATCTGACAACTCTATCTGGTGGTTTCGAATTTTGACAGTTTGGAGGCCAGAGACTAATGCATGTCCAAGTGTGCTTTCAATGAATGCACTTGTTAATTAAAAAGTAAATTAAAGCATTATTGGACCGTTTTTCAGTGTGTACGATTGATTCAGTATTGTATCTGAAAATAACCAGCTCGCTTTGGCTGAACAAAATAACGTTTTGTGTTCTGGCGCCGTTAAGGGCGCCATTAGACCGTACGTGGTTCTCCGCGGAAGTAAATCAATCAGACAATTTTTAGCTTATTTTTAGGCTGTCAAGGTATTTTTTCACTAACGAAACAGAAAAAACCACCAATGATAATCATGAACTTAGTGCCAGAATTGCTTAGAATGAACGGGTTTTAATTCGTATTGTCCCAAATGTTCCGTCGTCCAAGCGACAAGCACCCGATTTGGGATTTAATATCGGGACTAAATGAGCTGCATTCGGGGCGTGCGGCAACAATGATTTCACTATCGTTTCCTTAAAGCTAATGGTTAGGTTGTAAAATGAGCAACTGAGACTACACGCACCCCAAGTTACGCGTGATTTGATTGAGCTCACCTTTTCAAATATAGTTGTACTAACACAAACCTTACAGGAGGACACCTGTTTCAATACTATCAACTCAAGTGGTATTAGGACTTGTAAACAGCGTATTGTGACCCGCGTGGATACAAGACAAACGTATCTTCCCAGGTTTATCATTGTATAATTATGAGGGCGCGATCCCTCGGGCACAGACTTTGAGCCAGCATCAAACGTTTTGTAACTTGCGCAGTTACAACAACCTGTATAGTAAAATCTCAATGACAGAAGCACCAAGTTGGATTTATTTTATGCCTCTGATATACATATGCATATATATATGTATATGAGGAAATATTTCCGAAATAGCCCTCGTTTGAAAAAAGCATCTGGTTTTATAGTTTACCGAAAGTGTCCACTCCATCATGTCAAAATACTAGATGGCGATTTTGTTACTTTTGAATCCGGTAAACAAGCTGACAGTCAGCTTCTCCTATCATCATCAAATACCTGATTTTTTGCGGTTCTTTTTGCAAGCGCCTTCAAATTAAAGAAGGCATGGGGGTGTCTGTTTCACAAAATAGCTCACATATACATATACATATATACATGAGAGCCAAGTAGTTTCTTGTTAGTACCTTCCGATCAAGGTACAACTAATATGCATTTCGACAGAGGATCCAAAAATAAAGATTTATAAAATCACATTTTGTACCTAAAAATTAAAGCACGCGGTACACAATCAATAAGCATCACAACTTTCTCAACAACTTCCTGCACGCGATGGCACATGAAGTGCGTTAGACTTAGTGACCATGTGGTAGAGATGGTGTGTAAACGGCATCGCAGATGGCTGACAATGTCATGAAACTCAGCTTGAAGTCAGGAATACCGCATCAAATACGTCGTTGAGTTGAAGACAGAATCAACTAATGTTTTAGCGCTTAACTATCGAGAGTGCTTATTCGGCATCGTAGTTATTAGCAAAATCACGCAACGCTGAACAAATCCTTATTTTTTTGGGAGGAGGCATAGTTTTAAGCTAAAAAGGAGTCCCGAGTTACTAACGCTCCAACGAATGAAGTGGTAGAAAGCACTACGCAAGCTGACATTAAGAAGTCATTAATGATCATGTACCATCATTCTAACGCTCATCTATAACAGAAGTTCAGTTTTCCAAAGCGCAATAAAGAATAGCCTGGTTCATTTTACATAAACAAATCCAGAGTGAGTGTCTTCGGATATTTTTATTTCAATTATTCAGTGTAACAATTATTTTCGAAACATGTAATATTGATTTTTCGCCGCTAAATACCATTAAAATTACCCAATTGGGTTTTGTCTAAACCTAAACAGCGGTATGTGCGGAAATTCAACCCGGAGGCGGCCGTAAGTTTCCAGTTTATTTAGTATTCAAAGTACTGAAATAAACAAATCTAATGGCCGGTTATGACGGGCGCCATTTTTAAAACGACAGGTTACATGATTGTCCCCTAAAACAAGTGGCCAAAATTCTATGGCCTATCTTGTCGTTAAGTATCTCGTTTAAGTCGAACTTGCTTGAAACGTACGTGCAGGTTCAAAAATAGATGCAAAAGCGCATGAAATCACAACGTTTGATGCACAATTATTGGACATGAAGTTCATACATTCATTCCTGTTGCCAACGCAACGAAATTCGATAAGATTCGGCGAAAACAATGTTTCATTCTTGTGGAGATCCCTTTAAAATTTTACAGAGAGTGCCACCGCTGAATTTATAAATTTTAAACAATTATTTTTTTTAACAAAAATGATTACTTAACTAACGCTTAACCAACCTAGTGTTACAAATTGTGGCATAAAATTGAATGAATCTAGCTGTATTTTTCATATTGGATAGGGCGCAAACGTGCCCAAGAATGCTCTCCAATTAACGAGCTTCGGCAGTAGTTTGTCATTCTATGTAATCGATACAATTGTAGATGTGGCTTGTCAGTGTGAAGCAGCAAAATTGTAATGGGTTTCAAAATGGTTGCCCTATTGTGTGAATTGTGCTCACGAATAACACCCAGCCGTACAACCTCTATTGTTGAAAATGAATTTCTGCTTTGTAGCTGATGAGGAGGCTGCACGAGATAAGTGTAACGGTAGGCTCCTTTTTTAAGAACTTAACGTTGAGTGAAAAAACAGCCATTTGCTAAATGTATTTCGGTTGCTGAAACATACGAAGCGATGAGAATTGAGATCGGGCTAGGGTATTATTTCGCAACTCAAAAAATTACTAATATGATTAGTTTTGTTAGCATCCTTGGCATAGTTTGAACAAAACTCCAGCAATGCGGTCTGCTATTCGGTTTTTGTGTTTTACCATGCCGTTCATTTAGGAAATTGTAATGATGAGGAAAAACTTCGCTGTTTGTGTAAGTTGGAATACTCTCTACGATCACATCAGTATGATTCTTAAACCAAAATTTCAGTGACCGCCGACATCCCTCGAGTTTCTGGGGATGAGTTTAAATATATATATTGAATCTTGCGATATCACCACTCTATGCTCCTAAAACTGTGTTTACTTCTCGGAAGAAATGGTTTTCTGTGGCAGCGAATTTTCACACGAAATTAGGATCGTTTTAAATCTGCATTGTGCTAAACAGTTTGTTATCAAAGACAGCCCAGTGAGAGCGTTTAATGCTTACGATGAACATGAGGTTGATCTATGTAAAAGAGAAAGTTTGAACGAATTATCCCGTTTCATCTTTGAGCATTGTTCATCCATATCTAGAAATAATGTCAGCTGTTTCTTCAACAAAGTGAGAATTATAGGCTGGTTACCATGATCAAAACCTCTCCCAAAAACTCGTCTACTCGAACAAATCTGTTTCCTTTTCTACATTTTTTGCGATAAAAAATAGTAATTATTAACCGTGTGGACACTGAGAGTTCAACGTTTAAGTAAACAGACCGTACAATTTATTTCACTTTTAGCCAGACAAGACGGTGACACTGACGGAATACGTAAGCGCGTATTGTAGCTCTGAGCCCAAAATGACCATTTTTGCTTCAGTCCTGCACGCAAAACACTTCCATACTTTAATCTCGCAAACTGACCTGTCCAGTTGAGGCAGCGTTTTTTCGGAACATATAAAAAGAATTTGCAAACCAATGTACGGCGGTTATGCAAAAATGTGTTTATTTAACACGGCTAAGCTGGATGGGTTTCACGGGGAACTAGGATAAATAGATAGCATGAAAATCAAAGAAGGCTTCAGCACTCGCATCATATAATACAACACGAGTATTTTGAGGAAAATGGAGGCAGATGAACGAAAATTAGTAACACAGTTGACAAAATTACTCCGGTTTACATGGCACAATCAAAGGTCGTCACATGCTGCGCAGATAACTTGAAGTCGGTCAACTGCAATATGGCGTATGAAATTTATACCAGTGTCTAGTTGGACTTTTCAAACAAGCTGAATCAATCCCCATTCATCTGAGGAGAATGTAAATGCTTGGTTCAATCATTGTTACAAGGTTGACAGATTTTGCCGCCAGGAAAGTACATGGTCAAAAAAGTAGAACCTGCAGTGTAACCTGAAAAGGTTTTGTAGCTCCAGCGTGGTATACCATTGTGTGATAATTCAAAGGA